ATATGATAGCCAATGAAAGCCGGACAACTGACCTTTTGCTCCAGTTGGGCCTCTAATCCCTTAACTTGGACTTCCATCATTCGAAGAGAGGCTTGCAAACGCGTCGCATTCGACTCGGCCTCCTGTTTAGCCGCCTCAGTATCTTGTGTGACTCTGCGTGATATGGAAATGGTGAGGAAGTGTTCGTTAGGATTACACCAATATGGTCGAGTGAAGAAATGTTAGGGGTGCCAGTAAATAATTATGTGTACCACATTTCAGTGGACCAACTCATATTGTGCTTGTACCTACCTACCCCCGAACGCATGTGCAACAGAGTGAATGACTCAAGTGTACGAGTCAGTATTCCCTAGTTATATGGATACAAAACTCCTATGCACCATCACATAAAGCAGCCCCATGTGTAACATACTGTTCAGGCTGTGGTCCCTCAGAGGAGAACTCGTAGATCATCATCAGCTGTAAGAACCGCGTACTTGTCGTACAGTGATTGTGGCTGCCACAGTTTCGTTCACAAGTGATTTGGGGAGGTGGGGTAGGTAGCTGTGCATTGGAGGCGGGATCTGATAAATTCGTGCGTAAATACTGCATTGTCAGTGAACTGTTAAGTCGGGAAACTTGGAGCGGAGCTATGCATTGAAGGCAATAGCTTGGATGCACGAGCACCACTGAGGGCGCGACTGTGCCATGTCTGACAATGTCTCTAACCATTGATGTAGCCCGTCTCGGGGTCCCCATCCAGGGAGAGGACAATGACCAGCGCAGCTGAGTTTGCTGCTAATGGCTGTCGAGTCATTGTACGATCTCCTCCGGATCGTTTCTACGTGGTTGTGCGGAAAAAAACCTTCGAGGAAGATGGCATGCGGAGCACGTGGCCAAGCCAGCGCGACTCATGCAGTGTGGTCAGTTCATCTATCGAGGGTGTTTTTTCTTCCGAATGCCGCTCACCAACGGTGTATACTTCTACGGAAGGATGAGCTAACTACCGTAACACATGTCAACACAGTGGACGTTCACCAGACGGCGGTTATGAATTCGCACTCGTTCGGTTAAAGCTGGTGAAACTGATGATGTTTTATTTCCGTTTTTCGGAAACAGTTATAACAGAATTACAAATAAGCGCACAGCTTTTATCAATAACGCTAAAAAAAGCAAATTTGTGTGGCAGGTTACACCAAACTATGTGCGAATGAACTATGCAGCCCCACAGGTTACCAGGACAATTGGTCTGGTTAGGACCACCCTGTTCCCGCATGCTTTGGGCTTATCCGTGGGCGCGTCTCTTGGAGTGCTTTTCTGAGTTTTTACAACAACCGCAAGAATCCGTGGGGGCGAAATCTAGACCGTTACCTTGTTCCTTCCTTCTCGGAGCTAGCGACTGTTTTGTTAATGTTTCGTCCAACAACGGACAAACGGGGAAAGGGGATCCTGTTGACAGCACAGAGCGGATAAGTACTCACAGACCGGGGTGAATGATCTCTGGTTCTTTTGTGAACGCTTCCAAAGATGCTGAGTATCTGTCGCACACGTTGCCGGATGTTTCGCTTACTAGCAACAATTTTTTTAATTCTGATCCCGCTGGTCGGCTTCGTTGACTCAGTAAGATTCTAGCTACTTTTGTCGGTGTATTTGTGCAATTTTTAAGATAGTTTTGGGGATGCTGACTTACGCGAGAGAAAGAAAAATATATTTGAATTTGGCCGTAAGCGAGTAACGTATACCGAACCACCGTTTGCCGAAGTGAGTACTGTTTTCCATGCCCAACTCAGGGTGGTGGAAACGGAGAGGTGGCCAACCCTTGGCTTGGCAGACGGGTATGAAGGAGATTACGAAACGTTCGGGTACTGTCGACTCTGCTCGCCTTCCAGAAAAGAGATCGCGTGATCCTCATTGCACCTGTTTGGAGACGCTGCAAGATATGGTTGCCAGTGGCGTTCTTGTTGTCCGTTTCTATCCAAGTTGCCTGAATGGGTGTCTGGAGTTGTAGGCAC